TTTTGGTTGACTTTCTAAGTTTTTGGTTGAACTCAAAAAAGTTTTGAACTCAAATATCACAAATGGGGGAAGTGGCGCAGGGAGTAGAGAAGCCAACCTTGTGATCGGAAGATAGTCGGTTCAACCCCAGCTTGGTGTCCTAGTTGCACATGTGTGATAGGATAGGTTAAATGTAGAGACTTGAAGGAGACATATTATGCAAAAAAGTTTTTTTTACTCAACTTTGGGTGTGTACTTCTTAAGAAAACAGTCCTAGGACCAAAAGAAATGCACCCAAGGGCATATTTACTGTAAGTAAATGTATGTTAATATATATTAATTACAAGTTTTTAGACATTTTGTGATGTCACAAGCCGTACGACAACCCACCAGAACCTGCGTTCAGCCTCTTACCTAGCAAACCCCAGGTGAAGCTGCTCTTCRGTCTAAAAAGCAGTCACGGTGTTGTTGTGTAATGTGCAGTTCATTGCAAAACAAGCCTCTTATAGCACAATGAGTAAAGTATTGGACCATAGAGTGGGAGATCAGGGTTCAAAACTGGCTTGGACACGAAGATTTGAATTTTTTATTTTCGTTTGATATGAACATGTTTTCTCATGTACTTCTATTGTTTAGCTTAAGCCTATTTGCCAAAGTTGAGTAAAAAAATCTTTAAAAAGTGAATTTTGCATAATAGGTCTCTTTTAGCCTAGGTAGCAGGTTCAACTCCAAGATGGTCTCCATGTTGCACGTGTGTTCACGTGTGATTGGTTAAATGAAGAGATTTGAAAGAGACCTATTATGCTATTATGCTTTTAAGTCTCTACATTTAACCTACTACACATGTGAACACACGTGCAACATGGAGACCATCCTGGAGTTGAACCTGCTACCTAGGCTAAAAGAGACCTATTATGCAAAATTCACTTTTTAAAGATTTTTTTACTCAACTTTGGCAAATAGGCTTTAACAAGGCTTTAATAAGCTAAATAATAGAAGTACATGAGAAAACATGTTCATATCAAACGAAAATAAATAATTCATTTCTTTGTGTCCAATCCGGTTTTGAACCCTGGTCTCCCACTCTCTGGTCCAATACTTTACTCATTGTGCTATAAGAGGCTCGTTATGCAATGAACTGCACATTACAGAACAACACCGTGACTGCTTTTTAGACGGAGGAGCAGCTTCACCTGGGGTTTGCTAGGTAAGAGGCTGAACGCAGGTTCTGGTGGGTTGTCGTACGGCTTGTGACATCACAAAATGTCTAAAAACTTGTAATTAATATACATTAAAATACATTTACTTACAGTAAATATGCCCTTGGGTGCATTTCTTTTGGTCCTAGGACTGTTTTCTTAAGAAGTACACACCCAAAGTTGAGTAAAAAAAACTTTTAAAAAGTGAATTTTGCATAATATGTGTCCTTCAAGTCTCTACATTTAACCTATCCAATCCTATCACACATGTGAAC